GTGTATCATTGTCACTATACCACGCTTGGGCAGATTGGAGTCCGCAATTTAAATGGTTTATACTGCTGTCCGACTTTTGTCAAATGTGTAGTCCCTTACTCAGCTCTTAGGCACATCCACGAGAAGTTAAGGGGTGATGTTACATCCTTACTAATATTACAAATCGGAAAATGAGTTTGTTTGTTTGTTTGTTCCGCTTTCACGCCGTAATTCCTAAACCGACTACTTTGAATTTTTGCAGACGTAAAGTTAGAAGTCTGGATTAAATAATAGGGTACATTTTAACCCGGAAAAATTTGATATTCTCGAGGGAAAACGAAATTATTGTCGTGACGCGAGCGAAGCCGCGGGTAAAAGCTAGTATATAATAATGTGCATTCTTCTTTGATTTCCGTGTAATAAGAGGATGAGGACGATGAGCCTTCTACCATACACCGCCTACAACTCCAATAACCGAGACCAGACAGACCATACGGGGAATAACAGGTACTTATTCCAATATAGTATAGAATAAGTACCTACCTGTACCATACACACATCACGTGATCACAACTCCATAGTGATAAATTAATTATAAGCAGCATTAAAACCAATCAGACATCAGTAATATAACTTCGAAACACATCCGGCTTTACTTATCTTTTTCATTATTATTTTTATACCACAACGACACTGTAATATGGCCCAACCGTTATCTATGACTTTCTGAACCTTTTTATCCATAAACCGGAGGTGCAATTGTTATCTGTAATATTAGTTATCTGTGGTCGAAAAAAAATGTCGGCGGCAATGTGACTTTGAGCGGGAGAAAAGGGAATTTTGTGTTGTTGATAATATTAAATTCAAGTATGAAAGAGCCCAGCTTCGGCACGAATGGGCCGACTCGACCGGAGTGATACCACGGCCTCACAGAAAACCGACGTGAAACAACGCTTGCGTTATGTTTCGTCGTGTTAGTGAGTTTACCGGAGTCCCAATTATCCTCCTCCCCTTCCTATATCTCCCCAATCCCTGAATCCCCAACAATCCTCAAATTCATAATTCCCAAAAGGCTGGTAACGCCTCTGGTGTTCCGGGTGTCGACGCCGATTGCTTACCATCAGGAGATCCGTCATCGTCTACCGGCTTATGCCTTAAAAAAAAATATTTCAGAATTCTGTATTGACTGTTCAATATAACAATACAAATAATTATAACATAGGTTTTAATAAAAAAAATCAAGATAGAACCCACTTAGACTTTTCCTGTCGAAGGACTGCACGAAGACGAAGACGGGAATAAGCAGAATTTATGTATATGTAGGTACCTCCAATTTATTTATATGTTTATGTGTTCTCCCATGCACTGTCTGTGTGTTGTGCATACATTTATTAAATACTAGCGACCCGCCCCGGCTTCGCACGGGTGCAATATGTATATACATACAAACCTTCCTTAAGAATCACTCTATCTATTAAAAAAAACCGCATCAAAATCCGTTGCGTAGTTTTAAAGATCTAAGCATACATACGGACATACAGCAAAAGCGACTTTGTTTTATGTATTGATGATGAAGATAAAATTCTTTAGGTATGTACATAAACATTTTTCTCAATTTTTAAAACTATTTTGGTTATAAATATTGTGTGTAAAAAAACTGATAATATAATTTTACGCACACTATCTAGTCTCCGTGTTACAGTGTCCCACGTGGGGATCGAACTCGTGACCCCTCAGACCGCAATCTTGCCGATTTATCACCATTGTACCTATCTATACTTTTTTATAACAAAACTCCTGCTTTTTGAAGAGGCTGGTAGTATTTCTTACAGAGTCAATATTTTCATAATTGGGTAATAATAGCTAACTATTTGTTGCCATTTGTTTGAACGTACTTATTATTAATATTTCGTTGTTATGTAAATAAAGATTTGGGATAAATCCCCTGATCTGAGATTGAGCGTGTCGCCATGACCAGTGCAGTTCCAAACTCTGCGAAAATTACCTACCTATATAGTGAAAATTTTGCCTGACACAGTAATCAACCACAAGACACCTTGTTTAGCAATCGCACTGTAAGCTACCTGACTAACGACGCAGACAGTAAGAATACTTGTCTTATAAATAGGTAGGTAGATATTATATAAAAAAGTCAACATAACAATCAGTCACAGACTTCTAAACATCTTAGTACGGTACACATGCACTTAAACTATGTAGGTACCTAAATTGATTCATTACACAAACCAGACAAAATAACATCTAGATTTTTACAGTCCAATATTATGACACTCATAACCAATAACATTGGTAGATGCGCAGCAAACATTGCTACTTCAACACTGAAGTATGAAATCGTTATCAAATGAAAGAAGTCAATGTATTTTAAAGTTATTATCGCACCAATATTAGACCGATAAGATTCAAAGCTGGACGTTTAATAAATAAACAGCGTTCGATTTTCAAATCATGACAGTGTTGCGAGAGACGTCGATAGAAACAGACGTTGGACAAAGTGTTGCAATAAGTAGTTAATAATTTTTCAAAATGATAGTTTTATTCCATTTAGCTGTGATCAGCGTATATTCTTACGCATTTTGGTACGACCAAAAATATATAGACATCGAATATCCGTCTAAAGAATTTGAGTTCATCCCACTAAAGGCTCGAGTTCTATTCTTCACGTTTTGGACTCTTGTAAGTACAGTTTTTTTTTATCATCAATACATAGTATAAAACAAAGTCGCTTTCGCTGTATGTCCGTATGTATGCTTAGATCTTTAAAACTACGCAACGGATTTTGATGCGGTTTTTTTAATAGATAGAGTGATTCTTAAGGAAGGTTTGTATGTATAATACATGCATATTGCACCCGTGCGAAGCCGGGGCGGGTCGCTAGTTGGTTAATATAGTATAAGTACCTAATGTAGTTTTTATTAATAGTAAGTATTAAGAAACCGCCAGGTCGTATCTTAATAAGACAAATTATGATCCTATGACAAGTCACCCATCTGTTATTGCGTGCATTTTTCGGAACTTTTGTGTATTTTCTAAAACAAAAAACACAAGAATTTAAATGAAAGGCGTTACTAGATTTACTTTATATAGGACATTGTTCTTTCTATTCTGAATAAACATAATCTTTATTATTTTCCTAATTTGCACAAATATAACAATTTGTTTACCTATAAAAATATTCAAATCAATATGAGTAGAACCCTCGTCTTCAAGTTATTACGGTACCAACGACATAAAGTCGCGCCATTTAATCCCCCAAAGGTAGGACTATCTTCTTCTTAGGGGGATCCGAAAGGAGAAGGCAGCTGTTTGTACTAGCTATATTATGAGTCCCATGCAATACCTACGGGGTAAGTTCAAGTTCCTTTCGGGTATAAATCCTAATTTACTTACCAATTACTTGTCCCGCCTTGGGTGAAGCGAGAGAGTGCCAGGCTTTTACTGACTAAAAACCACCTCGTTCCTACTCCAGCTTTGAGCTGGAGCCCCGGCATCCCGTTATATTGTCAGCAGCTCAGGGTAATCTACCCTGTACCTACCTACAATCTTTTCTGACTTAGATAAGAAAGGAAGTTGTGGATACAAAGTGCAATGATTGCAGCTTTAGATATGATTGTCATTATTATCGTTAACAATTCAATAATAAAATTATAATAATAAATATTTAATATCTACCTTACCTACTTTATTTTAAGAAACGTTTATCTGAAATTAGGTATCGTTTGTGCGGATATAAGATTGCCTATCGAAGTCATGAATGAATGGTATCAAGATTAAAGCACTATAGGTAGTTATTTGCAGTATTTTTCCATAAATCAACCAGACAGAATCAATTCACGGCACGCTAAAGAGTTCGACTTTTAAAAAACAATTGCTTTCTATACGAGCTCGAAACAGATGAGAACTTCTGCACTATTCTGACCCTGTTCAGAGACACATGCTAGGGTGCCTATGTATGTAGATAATAAGAATAACGCATCCCAAGATCCCCAAATCCACAACTTTCAGATCGGCTTCTAAAATATAATAGGTACGGTTACTGACTTCTCTCAAGCTAAAATTGATAAAACATGAACTAATTCCATCCTGCTCTTAATTCCAGGTGCTCCAGCATGTCTACTTCGTGATCTCCTTGCTGAACGACTTCTTCGGCACCAACGAAGTTACGCGAAAACCGCCCTTAATCCGTCAGGTTAAGGACGTCCTCTTCAGCATCACACTCTGCACTGCCTTCTACGTAGTCCTTGTATTTTGGACCTTCTACGTATTCAACAAAGAGGCTATTTTCCCTCCAGAGGCTGAGTTAAAATTCCCGAAATGGATTAACCATATTATGCACACGTCAATTTTGCCCGTAATTCTCATTGAACTGCTGGTTACGAGAAGAAATTTCCCGACTAAAAAGACTGGGTTCACTGTAGCCATAACCATGACAGCTATATACGCAGGATATATTCATATTGTGTACTTTAAATATGGTATTTGGCCCTACCCATTCCTCTACGTGGTCAGTTGGACCACTAAGACGTTATACTTCATCGGCAGCGCGGTCCTTGGTATGGTCTTCTATTTATTCGGCGAAAAATTAGACTCTATTGTCTCAGGGAAGAGTAGGACCGCTGTATCTCATATGAATGGATCTAAGAAAGTACATTAAATTATTTTTAGAATAAGCTAGAAATTTTTGTTTTATTTGTATCCCGATTATGGTGAAGCAAAAAAGATTATAACTAAGTTACTGTTGTTATTTTTATTAACGACCTCTCTGGTAGGTACTCAGGTACACCCTTCTTTCTTTTAGTCCTTACATTGTCTCCAATAGGCTGAATACGTATTTTATATGAAGCAATTATTTGCTATCTGCCTTCCACAATCCTCTGAAAAATGTGATAATACCTTTTGGTAAGATTTTGGTTAGACTGATGGGGCAGATAGAGGGTCTAATCATGGGATCGACTTATTATGCAAATAGGTAATAGGTAATAAAAAAATAATGAAAACAATTCAAAAATATAAAAATTTATTCTAAATAATAACCTCTGATTCAAAACCCTTCACAATAAAATTGATTTCGTCCTCTATCGTATTATTTCTCTTCCTTCGTCTCTTTTTCTTGCCCTCCCATTTTTGCGTCGTCAAACCCATTTCTTCCGCACATTTTTCGAAAATACAATTTAAACTCTTATAAAACAATAACACAGAATTAGCACCTCTCAAGTACTGTTCCAAAAACGCCTTAGGGTCCACCTGATTTTCTAATTTCACTGCCACATTATAAACAAAGGTGCCATTAAAACTTTTCGAATATTTTGTACTCTCAAAAGGACTCCTACAAAGAGTATTTAAACTATTAATCTGGCTCAAACAACACTGAAATTGGGCAAAACACTGCATCTTTTTTTTTTTTTAACTTTTTGGTTTTTTCTTTATTTTATCATCTAACTCAAAATGTTTTTTTTTTTCATGTGCAGCTATCAAAGCGTCTTCATACTGCACTTTGTTCTTGTTCAAAAACAATTCGTTTTCGTCAAATACGAGGGGTGTTGCATTCTTCTTTAGCTCTTTTTTTTTTTTAGTATATTTGTTATTGAATTGAAACTGTCCTCTAAAAGTACCTGTTTTTTCATCTATTGCTTCTAGCATTACATAGCACATGATTAAACTATGAATATTACCTAAAGGAACTTCACAGTTTGCCACCCACCATAGAATAGCAATAAAAAACAACTGGAAATTGGATGGTAATTGTTCAATCAATTTATAATCAAATCCCTTGAGTTTTTCTTTCAAAAAGTGTTCAAAACACGACTTCAATTGATCTTCTGTTAGGTCAGAGAATGGTGTATCAAATGGTCTTGAAGTACCAATATCATTTTTGATAAATAACCTTTTGTAACTCAAGTTCTTTTCCCGGCTCACATATATGCAGTATTCCTCTGAAAAATCTATTAAAAGATCAAATGCATATCTTAGGATTGGTAGACAGCATAGAAATGAATCTTCTTCATCATAGTCTTCTGCTTGTGGTGAGCAGAAGTGCAGGTGATGTGTGTAAAGGTTTATGTATGCCTTTGGGATATGATTCTGTCGAATTCCTTCTGCAAACCATTCAGGTACACCAAGATCTAACTGGTCATGTTCAGAATCTAAAGCATTATCTTCAATTTCCTCTCCTTCGTTATTTGCCTCTATTTCTTGTTCTTCTTCTTCATTTGCAGAAGACACCTCTTCATCCTCTGATGAAGATTCATTTTCATTCACTTTGTCATCTTCATTTTCATCTCCATCTTCTGCCATAATCTTTTCTTCAAAGTTTTCAGGCAGTTGCCAGTCTGATTCAGGAGTATCTTCTTCAATGATATTAAAATACTTGAGTGATCTACAATGTTTGCTATGGTAACCATTAATGCTCTTCTTTATTAAGGCAAGAGCTTTTCCCTTCTGTCTCTTCTTCAAACGACCCAGTATCTTTTGTATGGCTGTCTCCAATGTCTCATTCTGCAGCCACTGAAATAAACTATGAATGCATTTCTGTTGATCATTAGTCTTTTTCTTAGTCTTGGCCAGTTTCATTTGTGAGAAGAATTTCCTAAACACTTTCTTTTCGACATAGTCATTGCCTAACAATGTTGCTAGTAATGGCAACAGTTCTTCTTGTAATCCCCCATAGTTTTTGAGCATGTATTCCACTCTGAAGATTTTGCATTCCAAAGCAAAATGTTTGGTTTCGTCAATTTCTATTGGTTTAGCTTTGAAGTCTAATGTGTTGAAGGGGATGTATAGGACATTGTATATGTAGAAGTCTGAATCGTAGCTTAGCACAGGACATTCTAGGTGTCTGGCCATTGCTGCTAATTCATCATCAGCTTCAAACTCACAGACTGTATATGCCACATTCATATCAATCAAAGCTTCTATGAAAACGTCACGAACTAGTAACGGGAAGATCTGTAGGCTTCCTTGAGTCACCGGATCGAGCTTCGAAGCGCCATATATTTTGGACCTCAAACGGCTGTGCGCAGTTTTCAATTTTCTGTGTTCGTAGCTTCCGTCAAACAAAACATAAGGTGTAATGTTGCATTTCTTCAGGTTTTTGAAGAAGTTTCGTACATATGATGCGAATTTGTCATAATCTCCACCGAAAGCAGAGAAACAATTGAGTAATCTGTATAACTGGGCACACAAACTATGTCCGTCTATAACCAGGGGGCAATCATGTAATAAGAAGTCTTGTAGGAAAGAATTCTCTTTGTGGCTAATATAAGTAGTCAAACCTCGGACTCCCATGATTATAAATTTAATCAAACCATAATTTCCACAATATTTCAATATTCACACGATGTAAGTTGGAGGTTATGTTGTTTATTTTGACATTGACGTTATGTTAAATGTTTTCATAATCTGACGTTGACAGTGACCAGGTAACAAATTCTTAAAATCAGAAATTAAGAAATCATTTTCCCTAATTTAGTGAATTAGTTTTAAGTTAATTTAAATTTTATTTGGTATCAAATTACTTTTAAATACTGACTTAAATACTTTTTAATAATGACTAGCTATTGGTTTGCAAGCAAAAAAAAATGCTAAATAAAAGTAATACCTAGTTTATCATGAATAAGAAAAAATACATTTGCATTATATTAATAAATACTTTTTCAGTTAAGGTATTATTAGATAATTTAAACTCTTGCATATTTAAAGGATAAATTAAAAATCAATATCTTCTATACATATAGCACTGACTTTCAGAACGAAACGTCGAACATCATTGCGCGGCACCTCTCCCTCCTCCCGCGCTCCCGCCTTTCCATCATTTCGTTTTCGTGCCGGCCGCGTGTGGGGTAAAGATTGAAAACACGTGTTTCCATAAGGAATCCACCTAGATTTATAGTTTTACGTAAATAGTAACAATTTAATTGTTATTTTCAACGTATTTGTGTAGAAAACTCAAGTAATAAACCAGGTAAAGATGTTAATCGATAGCGCCATTTGTAAAATGCGGATGCGCGTGTAGATTTAAGCTAAAGACTAACATTGTTGTCTTATTTGGTGTTTTAGACATGACTGAGGCTAAGGAAGTAGTTGCTGAGTCTAATGGAGAGAATAATAAGCAGGAAGAGTCTTCCGAAGAACAGAATGAGTTGGAAACTGCGATTATTCGTCAGGTTGAATATTATTTCGGTGAGTACTAAACTTGTGCTGCTATTTCGTCTGACGTGGGGTTTAAATAAAGAAGACGCGTTTGGCCGAGGTTTTGTGCTTATAAATACTGTTTACGAGGCAGTAAAGTGTTGTTCATGCTTAATATTTAAGTACATGCAAACATCAGTAGGTACCTAACATTTGTCACCAGCTGGCAGCTTGACACTCATTATATTTATTTTAATCCACTACTTGCATATGGTAAAATTAGTAAGGTATCAGAAATATAATTGTTAACACATCAAACATAAGGTAATTATCAGTTTGAAATCGCTAAATTGCTTTAAGCAAGTGTGGTGATTAATGTTCAAATCTTCTCCGTGTGGGAACAGGCCTTTGGTCAGTAGTAGCTACTTCTAGGCTGTTGTTGATGAAAATTAAGTGTATGGTATTTTATTTGAAGCACAATAACTTCTCTGTATTAACTTTGTTGCATACATTTTATCCTATCCGCTAATATCCTAACATGATGCTATATAATCATTTATTGTACTGGTATGTGGTAATTTTATTCTAACAAACTTTGCATTCAGACTTTATAACATCAAAATGACATTTAACTAGTCGAGTACCGGTTTTGTAGACACAATTATAGAACAATAGGTTGCAGTCACCGGTGACCGCTTGGTGTTTGACAGTTTAAAAGCTATAACATCAAAATGACATTTAAAAGCGAGTAGAGCAAATATTGCGGTGGTTTCACCCGCTCTACTCAGCTCCTATTGATCGTAGCATGATGTCTATTGCCTATAGCCTTCCTCAATAAATAGACTATCCAACACAAATAGTGATCAGTAATTCCTGAGATTAGGGCCTTCAAACTAATTAACAAGCCCTTAAGCTTCACATAATAGTATAAGATTTATTTATTTATTTATTTGGACTCCCAACAACAGATGCACTTACATCCTAAAATATAATCCACAAAAATTACAGTCACCTTGCGATCCTTCAATAAAGGGAATCACATCGTGCAAATACAAACACACAGTAATTTAATTACAAAAATACCAAGAAAATATATAAAAGAAATACAACATCAGAAATTCGAATCACGGCAACTTAAAAAAAGGTTGAGATGACTTTAAAATTAGAAATTAAAATAAGATCAAATTCCTTCTTGTTCAAGTATAGTATTTAATGCTCATTCCTTCTCAGGAATACAGCGATAATCCGCGTGTTGTAACTTAGCTATAAAATAAACCAACACAATCATTTAATATTACTAAACTTAACATTGCCTTTAGAATATTCATTAACTGCCTCATTGGCCGAGTGGTTCCTAGTGCGTCTAGTCAAGGAGTCTCAGGTTCGATTCCCGGGTCGGGAAAGTATTGCTGGGTTTTTAAAAAATGTCAGTAGTAGCACGGAGTCTGTAATTGTGTCCGGTATATGGCAATAGGTTCACCCCTATTACATGAGACTCAATATAACATAAATTATGAAAGTGGGTGTTACATTGTACAGTGGCATAAAGTGCCGTAATGCGCACCTCTGCATATCCCTTCGGGGATATAGGCGTGATGATGTTATGTTTACAATATTCATCTTTACATTTGCAGGAGATTTGAACCTTCCTCGCGACAAATTCCTACGAGAACAAGTCCAGATTGACGATGGATGGGTACCATTGGACATCCTCACCAGATTCAACCGACTTGCCAAACTGACTAAGGATACCGAAATCATTGCCAAAGCTTTGCTGAAGTCTACCAATGGATTACTTGAGGTAACTTTTTAATATTGTTGAATAAGATGTTTAAAATATTTATTGTAAACAGTAGTTGATTAATAGTTTGAACTATGGAAAATTTTTTAATCATGTCAATTTAATTGAATTTTAATAAGTATCCATTCAAAACAGGATTTAATCAATCCATAATTAATGTATTTTTAATGATATTATCAACTACCCAAATATGTTCCTCATATAAATTGGTCCCTACAATCAAACCTTCATTTGTATATTTCATCTCAACACATTACAGGTCTCTGAAGACAAAAAGAAGGTCAGACGTAGCCCTGAAGTACCCATCCCAGAGATGAATGAGGAACGCAGGAAGGAGTTAAGTAGCAGGACTATTTACGCTAAGGGGTTCCCGAAAGAGTCGACTCTAGATGACTTGTTGAAGCACTTCAGGCAGTACGAACAAGTTGAGAATATTATCATGAGGAAATACCAGGAAAGGTCAACTAAAAAGAGGTTGTTCAAGGGATCCATATTCCTTACATTCAAGACTAGGGAGCAGGTATGTTCTATGTGAATTTAATTAATTAACTAAAGTAAACTGGAAGAGCTTCTCTTAGTAATTTACGTTAGTAAATTGTTATTTTAAATGAATTCACAATGGTTGATATAAAAATATGCATTTGATTCTTTGTTTTTAGAATAAAGTTATTAGAATTTTCTAACTGGCAATTCTATATGCAGCTGTGCTTATTTACATTTTTGTGTTTAATGGATACTAAGATTTTTATTTAGTAACTGATAGTGATCTTTATGATAAGTTTTTCTGATACCTGTCTTTAATCAACCATCTCCACTTCAATTGAATTGCAAACCTTAATTTTACGTAACTATGGCCCATATTTACTTTATAGATAAGATATCTTTCAAGTAAATGTCTTATAAATGTTGCAATTTACCAATATTAAACATTTTATAACTAATTTTCAGGCTGAGAAATTCATGGAGTCCAAACCTCATGAGTACCAGGGCACAGAACTGCTTATTCACTGGCAAGAAGATTACATAGCACAGAAACAAGAAGAATATGCCAACAAGAAGGAACAGAAAGATAACAAAAAAAATAAGGATAAGGAACACCATAATGTAAGTTATTTTCAAAATTATTATCAAAGTTGTTAATGCCCACCCCATATTACATGGGACTCATATATAGTGGAAAGTGAGTGTTACATTGTACAGTGGCATTAAGTGCCGTAATGTGCTTGTCTGCCTACTCCTTCGGGGATAAAAGGCGTGATGTTATGTTGTTAATAAAATTAACTGCATATTTATTTAGAGTGATTTGTAATCATGCTAATGTGTAACTTGGGAACTCTATTTTTGATAATCACAAAAATTTGTCTTGACTAAACTAGACAATATACATATAAAATATTTAACGGCTTTAGAGTGTGCCTACTGCCCTTTAATAAAACTTGAATAACCGTAAGACTAAAAAAACTGAAAGACAAATTCTAAAACTGATCATCAGTACAAAGAGTTATAAATAACTGCATTGTGTAATAATATTTCAACATTAATGTTTTATATTTCGTTTACAGGTTGAAAAAGAAGAATTGAAACTACCGACAGGAACAGTATTGTACTTCAGTGGTGGCACAGATCAGATGAAGCGAGAAGACATCAAAGAGGCACTCTCTACTCTTGGTAAGCAGTTTTTCATTGTACTACCAATATATTATTCTTGTCACGGCATAGCGCTAAGCAAGCAGTCGTGGTTGGTGACAAAATTTCATCATAGGAGACTAAAACAGTAAAATAAGAGACCCTAAATGCCATGCAACCCTAAACATAAGGAACTACGTAGTCTAGGTGATTATTTTTCATAAACATCCACTTTTTCTGATCACAATGTTATGATTGCAGTCAGTTCATAGTCAATTAATTTCCTTGTCGAAGAATCCTCGCGTGCCTTCGCGGACCACTCGCGTACACAAAGGAGTTACCAGTTATAATTTCACACAAAACAACTCATGCCTTTTATCCCTGAAGGGGTAGACGGAGGTGCACATTACGGCACTTAAAGCCACTGCACAATGTAACACCCACTTTTCTCTATTTATGTTATGAGGTTCCATGTAATAGGGGATGAGTCTAGTGCCATTTATAAGCATTTAGCCATATACCAGACACAATTCCAGACTCCGTGACTATTGAAAACTTTTTTAAACTGTCAAACACCAAGCGGTCACCGATGACCGCAACCTATTGTTCTATAATATAATTGTGTCTGCAAAACCGGTACTCGACGAGTTAAAAAGCTGTGTAATACTTTGCCACTCGGCCAATGAGGCAGTCTATAATTTCATTAAACAAACAAGTACATTTCTTTAAATATTATTGTATTGTTTACAGGAGCAGACATAGCATACATTGACTTCAAAGTTGGAGACAAAGAGGGGTGGGTGCGTCTTACAAAAGAAAACACTGCAAAGGTTGTTGCTGAAAAAATGACTGAAAATAAGATGAAGATTGCTGAAGCCGATGTTGAATTCAAAGTGCTCGAAGGTGAAGAAGAATCAACATATTTACAGAAAACAGTAGAAGAAATGGCCAAGAGACGGAAAAACATGAAAAACTTCAAAAGCAATAAGGGCAGAAAGGGTGGAAACAAATACCACGGCAAGAAAAGGCGAAATGACAATGACGATGGCCCCCCTAGAAAAGTTAAAGCAAATGAGAGTTAGTTATAGATGGTGCTGCCGTAGAGGGAACTCTATGCTAACCATAGACTTTCATAATTGCTTCTAAGTATAAGATAAACTTGATTACAAGAAATATAATGTTTGTTAACAATCCGAAACGGTGTTATCCTAGTTTTTGATTTGTTCCATAAATATTTACTATTAAAATTTATCTTTTAAGGATTATATTTGCTGCATTTTTATTTTAATTCTTTTCCCTTATGCAACAACTGAAGTAAGAGCGTATTAAGCTCAACATTTCTATGTGCAGATACACTACAGATCAACATGATTTGGACTTTGTTACCAACCCATAAACTACAAAATACAAGGTGTTGTTTTAAAGCCGCGTCATTTTCTAGGAGGTAACTCGCCTATCGATTTTGACTCCGAATCAATAAATAAAAATTGTAGGTAAATATTTTTCATTGTTCTTTAAGGAAATCCGTAAGTACGAACTACACGCCGCGCCGCCGTCTTATAACTAGCTTTATAACGCGGCTAAAAACAAAAACACATAATTGATATTACTATTCCTAATTCCATAAAACTCCAATAAGAAACATTGCTGTCGCTTATTCTGAAATACTGTCGAACTTAAACCATTTATTATAGCCGTATTTAAAACTATTGGTCCGAAACTTTCACTTGAATTGAACCTTTACGACTTCTGTGACATGCCCCTGAGAAATGACACGGCTTCAAAACTACACCTTGTATAGAGCAATTTAAAGTTGCGCTTACATATGTTCTGCCACTACATGTTCTTTGTAAAAGGACAGATGGCACGATGTTAAAATTGAGTACCTAACAACCTTTCAGTATTCGGGCGTTAGTTCTGTTTTTATGGGATCAGCCAGTAAATGAGCAGACAGACCTGATGGTAAGTCGCCCATGGACACCTGGAGACGTTACGTATAAGTACGTCACCGGCCATTTGAGGACTGTTGGGATGGGCCTCCGGTAAACTCACACACACGACGAAACACAACGTTTTTTTTGTAGTTTCGTCGGTTTTCTGTGAGGCCGTCCCTTGGCTCGAGTCGGGCCGGCCCATTCGTTTCGAAACATGGCTCTCCCACATTACTGTTTTTTTTTTTTGTTTAACTGTAAGTCAGGAACCCTACAGTACCTACTTCCTAATTACCTAAAAAAAAAAAATACATGCGAAATACTTGAAAATAAGTGTAACATTATCATGCCTTTTATTTTCCGAATTAGTAGGCAATAGCACACGCGTAGAAAGTACCTATTAATACAATTTTTGGCAATTCCAGAGAGTTAAATTATTTAGTTCAACCTATCCCTGTTCCTTACTGGAATGCAACGTAATCGACGCAAGGTGCAAACTATAAATATAAAATAACTTGATTGAGTACTTTTTTCTTTGCCCAACCCTAACACCAGTTGTTTTTTTAAGCGGGGAATATCGTCTAATGACTGCTCCCGCCTTACCCAGACTCTTACCGACTAAAAACCACCCCGTTTCTTCTCCTGCACGTCGAGCCGGAGCCCCGGTAAACCGTTAGGTTCTCCTAACACCAGTAACACCAAAATCCTTGTTCTGCAGTTGCCGTTCACACCACTCGACTAACTGGGCTGAAACATAGAACGCAATCCAATAACCAGTATTTTTATTTTGTAAACATCAATTAATTATATTTTCGAGCTATTGAATTCTCTAATTAATTACAGATCATAGTAAATCATACAGTTATGAAACATCTTTTTAACAAGCCCGTAATCGTCTTCATCACAGTAATAAACTCTGTAAATGCTCAGTAGGCAGTACAAATAATTTCATTCATTCATTCATTTTGACAGCAAATAATATAAGGGGTTTGTTTTTGTTATTGATTTTTCGGAAACAGTGTATTAATTTGTAACAGAAATGGTATAAAAATAATAAAATTAAAGACAATAAGTCTGTTACGGTTGTGTAAACGTACAAAAATGTACGGCATTTGGGATAGCAACATGTTTCAAACTAACGTCCACGAATATTCTGCCGAATTACAGAATGAGAATAACAATAACATTGAGTACAAAACGAGGCTTAAAACGCCAGAAATATTCCCTGAAAATAAAATAATAACTAGCTTTGACGATTTAAAAATTACTGAATGGCCTGGAGAAATAGAAGTACCGGAATACGAAAACAATAACACCAGCGCAAACACTGAAGAAAAAGATGAAGAAAAAATAGAAAAACCGAAGAGAATAAAAGAAGCGAAATTTAAAAAATTAAAGAAACCTAGAACAGTTCATGATCCAATATGTATCCATCACATTCCACTGGAAGCTGAAGAAATAGACTCTCACATGTTTGCCCCAGTTCTGAAGAGAAGGAAGAAACGAGATGGATGTTCACCTGATACTTTAGTAATCGATAAAAACTCTAAAATGAATGGTTACGACTCCGATGAAACCGTTAACGACTATGTAAATGAACAATTACTTTATATGACTGGTAAAAAATATTTTGTATTCAGGGATGATTTCACTATTTCTAGATATTAAAATCTAGAAGTTGTGGATAACAGAATGGGGATTGCATCATAAGATTTCTAATTCCTATGATGATAAACAGTTAATTTGTCTGTTACGTTCTTGCCCTTTCTTTTTACTACCCTTACCATGAATGACTTAGGATTGACACAATCTTATTTGACCATTCTCTCCTAAACATCATCCTACCTATTATTTATTCAATTTATTTTATTTCATATAATTTCTCATACTACTCATCAGTTACAATGAGGAAATAAATAATTATTGAGATTGCATTGATTGATATTTGGTCTAATAAATTGTTATTTTTTCTAAATTTTAGGTAGAGTGTGGTCGCGAAGGTATGTGCAAATGTCGCAGGATGCAAGGTAGGGAGTACTATGAAGATTACATACAGATGGAGGGCCGGGATTATCTTAAATTATATTCACATGGGAAGCGCGATTTTCATTATGGGACTGTTTTGCACTTTACTGGGGCTCCAGAACATATGCAGAGGGAAGATCTATATCTGGCGCTAGTGGAGCTAGGTAATTTCATTTAATTAGTCCACTTTAATCAATACATAGTATAAAACAAAGTCGCTTTCGCTGTATGTCCGTATGTATGCTTAGATCTTTAAAACTACGCAACGGATTTTGATGCGGTTTTTTTTAATAGATAGAGTGATTCTTAAGGAAGGTTTGTATGTATAATACATGCATATTGCACCCGTGCGAAGCCGGGGCGGGTCGCTAGT